CTGGCAGAGGCTGGGAGCTGTCCCGCTCTGCAGCGTGCAGGTGAATGGATCTCAGGCCGAAGGTTCATGGCTGCTGCAGAGATTCAGGGCCCCTCGAGCCGAGAGGCAGCAGCGAACGGAGAGCCCCCGGGGAGAGCTGCCTGAGCGTGCTGTACCTCCCCTCTGCAGGGCACCCTTAAAGCCTCAGGACAGATCGAGCCTGCTGGGGTGATCACCTGGAACTCCTTCAAACAGAGGTATGGCTGAAGGAGGGCTGACAAAGCCCTGCCTGCTGTTACCCACATCCCTACAAAAGGATTTCAAATCTGTGCTCACACAGCCCCAGCCCACAGCTGGGGTGGGAAGCAAGCACTTCGCCAGGAGCCCAGATTTGCAGGTAGCAGAGCATTTTGCAGATCCTCTCACTGCAGCTGTCACAATCCTGCTGGACACTGGGGCCAAATGCCACTTTGTCCCCAAATCACAGCCCTGCATGGGAGATTTGAGGTTGTCTGGGTTGAGACAGGGACATCCAGGTATTGTTAGCAGCAGGTTTCATAGTTGCTCTCCTCCTTTCCACCAAATAAATAGATCTCATGGGGGTGTAATGCACCCTAGCTCTTTAATCCTCCTGGGGATAAAGTGGATTTCAATGCTATTTGGCTAGCCACTGGGTGCAGAGCCAAACTGTTATAACAGGATTCAGATCTCTTCCCTAAGTCAGAGCAGATTTGCTTGTTGCTTTAAAAACTAGCTGAAAGAGAGCTTGGACCCATAAACCGTGTTTCAACCCTTTTAGAATATTAACATTGAACTATTTTTTGTCCTTGTTTGATGATTTTTTTTTTTTTGGTAATTCAACAAGCTCCTTGAAGTCCTACAGAGGTGGAGATTGGTGTTTTTTACAAGAGTAATATATACACAACTTTTTATTATTTTAAAGAACAGTTTTCACACTCCCCAAAGAGTTAAAAATTGTGTGTAAAAAGCTAGTAACTCCTTGAATGAAGAAGATCTGTTTTACTAAGCCATATGCAGCATCTCATGAAGCATCAGCACCTGTCAGGAATGTGGTTGCATTTCTGTCCCTTGCCATGTGAGGCTGGCTATTGGGACAGGGACTGATGCTAAGGACTGAGGATACTCCCCCAGCTTCACCTTGTTTGCAGTTTGCAGTGCTGGGGAGAATTGTTATTGACAGGGGGCAAATGGACAGGAATTCACTGAGCCTCATCTCTGTGGGATCAGAAAACCCTGCCCATTTCTTCCACACAAGTGGAGAACCTTCAAACTTTCCCTGCATGCTGGGACCTGTAGCCAGCAGCATTAGTGCTGCTCCTTTAATTGGTGTGGCTTTGGAGGGAGCAGCCACTTGGATATAGAGCTCTGTTGCCCAGCTGTGCCTCTCCAAGAGAAGATGTTATGTTGACCACATGCTTGAAAGAAGGCAGGTTACAAAGAAATAGATATAATATGATTGAGGACGAAGGTGACCTATAGAAGTGTGGTAAGTGGTTTTCTCTGCTTGACAAGTGAATTTTGATCCCAGCATAGCACTGTGCTGTGAGACGCTGCTATGTCTGGGAAAGCTTTGTAGGAGGACAAAGAGCAGAAAGTGGCAAGAAGGACAAAGGCTCTGAAACAAACACCCCCTCCCATTCATACTCCTGCCAAAATGACAAAACAGAGGTGGACAGTTGCAAAATTGTCTTTCTTTCTTAGAATCAGCCATGTCAGCCGGCTGAGTGCAGGGAAAATAGCAGAAGATCAATAGAGGTGTCTGTACTGACACTTTTACCATCTTGCCCTTTAAGAAACACAGAAATGTTCATCAGCCTTCCCAATTAATGAGCCTTTCAGTGGTAAGAAATACATAGCTTGCTCTCTAAGTGTATGCTTCTCTACCAACCTCTGGTAGAGAACCTCCTAAAAGAAGAGGCAAGTGAAGGCTCTGGTCATTGTCAGAGGTCCAGGCTGTGACGATGATGACAGCATTCTGGCACAACTTTACAGGAGTGCCCCCTTGTTCTGGCTGTGAGTCTGAGACGGCAGAAGCCAGTGCAACCTTCCCTGGAGGATACCAGGTCTCCTCTGTCCTCTGCTGCTTACTGAGTGATTTCTGCAATGCCACATCTCTGACACACATACATGATCACTAGCCACAGATCCTCCTGTGTGGGCTGAATCCCACTACATCCCTGAGCACTCCCTAGGGTGGAAGGAGTGAAAATGGAGGTCCTGCAGCAATTGACTTTAATGAAGTTATTTGTGCTGGCACTGATTGAAGACCTGGCCTGTGTGAAGGATGTCAATGTGCATAATGACACCAGAGTGTGATGCCTGTCATTTATCATTTGCACCAATCAGCTAGGAGTCCCCTTGCACCAGCACTGTGGAGATACAGAATGAAGTAATCCCTTTGCAAAGGGCTTATGATTTTGGAGTAAGCACAAACATTTAAGTCTTGAAGAAAAAGGAAAGAAACTACATTGCTTCCAGCCCTTGTTTCCTAGCAGGTTTGTATTAATTGACCGCAAACCTTAACACAGTTTTCACTCCACTTGTCAATTGTTAAGATAGATTTAGGGGCTGTCAACAAAATGTTGCAATTGAAAAGACCCAGCTAGAAATAATAGACTAAGAAACATCAAAGTAGTCATGATACTGTAAACCACCACAGAAGAATAAGTTTAGCCCTTTCACATTTCATGGTCCCTTAGATGCATTTTGTGAGCCTCCTTGTTCATCCTTGGGGGAGAAATGGGCACCCTGAGAAGCAGGTTCACCTGGCTTCACTCTGACACCAGGCTTTGGACAAGATGCCTTGCTTGCCTGGAGCCAGCAGGCTCCAGTTGGCCCACAGGCTGCTCTGGGTGAACAGATGTTTGTGCCATGCTGGGCACAAAGGGACCTGATCCTCACATCTCCTCTGGATGCTGCCACAAAGTGATGCATTCCTTACGCAGCTGAACACCTGGGGAGCACATCAGCGCTAAAGCCCACCATATTTATGTGGCTGGTGGTGAGCTGGGTAACCTGGGAGCACTTGCACAGCACGTTTCACTCTACAGTCGGAGGGGTTTATCACAGCAGAGGGTTTCTCGTCAGCTTGTTCATCTGAACAGTGTCTCAACAGGCTGCTGTGGAGACACCTGTGCCTTTGGGTTCCCAGTGCAGCCTTATCAGGGGAGCAATTCCCACCCCGTCAAAACAATTCTTACTGGGGCTTCACTGACACACCAGGCCTTTTCCTAGAGGGTCCTGTTTGTTTCCAAGAGAATCTGCTTCCAATGCCTGCATTCAAATGCTGCCACAGCAGGACTGAGATTGTTCATCTTTCTGCTGGGCTTCTTGTCTGAGCAGTGAAGAGCTTAACCATGGGGGATTTTAGTAAAATGAAGTGCCCTGTATGTTTAACACAGCTGCAGCTCCTATCATAGCAAACCTGCAACTCAGCAGAACCTGCAATGATAAACTTGGGACTAGTCTTAGGTATGGAGCAAATCACACCCCTGTGTGCTTATGGGACCTTATCAGACAGTTCCCCTGGCACTGAAATTGTGTTGGGACCTGTTGTGCATTGACAGCCTTTTTTCTGCTCACTTAAAAAAAAAATTGAAATTATAGATGAAAGTAGCAGGAGACAGTCACATAAAAGGGTTGAGCGCAGAAGAATTCACTTACAAAATTTCTCCGTGCACTTAGGAATGCAGCTATTTCTTTTACTCATTCAGACAACCAGATGCTTTCAGATAATGACAGGGCTGTGTGTTTTTAACTTATCTTGTGAGCAGCGTGGTGCCGGGAGAGGCGAGCCTGCACCCAAGCGGTTCAGCCCCGGCGAGTGCTTGCCCCAGCTGGCAGTGCTCAGAGCACAGCCTTGCAGGAAAATCCTCCCGGAGCCGGCACCCTGCTACAAACAATCTCTTCCTGCCTTAGCACAGCCTGAGACAGGAAAGATAACTGTGGGAAACATGCCTTTTTTTTTTTTTTTTTTTTTTTTTTTTTTTTTTTTGTGAGGTGATGCTATTCTGAAGAGGGATTTGCTCCATCAATGGACATCCCAGGGACCAGGAGCTCGGGAAAGATGCTTCCTGCAACCCCTCCAAGTACCTCACAAGGATGCTTGCAGAGCAAAAATAAGTTGTCCTGAATTAAATTAATTTCAAAGCTTGCACCAGGATAGCGGAGCTACCTGACAAGTCAGGTCAGCAAGGACTTCTCACAAAACAGAAGCCAGTTCATTAAAGTTGGTCATTCATTAGTGTGATAAAGTAATTAAAGTCTCCTGATTACTTTCTCCCCCTGCTGCTCCATCTCTACTACAAACATGAAGGCTTTGGTATAGATGGAGCTGTTGACACTTTGTCAGTGAAAATTCAGAACTGTGCAAGTAAAAGAAATGGTTTTTTTGGGGACTATAAATAGTTTTGCATTAAAGCAAATGTATTCTCCTTCCTAAAATAGATTCACCTTGCAAACAGCTTAAGAACAGTTGCAGCGCCAGAAGAATTCCTTCAACTCCCCCCAGGAGACAGAAACAGCCGGTTTTCCCCTGAAAGAGCAAACGACAGCAGAGGAGATTCCTCTACTGCCACCCCCCTCTTTCTGTTCCCTACTGCCGGGCAGCATCCCTCTGTGCTGGGGTGTCAGCCTGAGAGACCACACAGCGTCTTTCGACTAGAAAAGGATGTTAATTCATCCAGCTAACTTTTCCAATCATTTTTACTAACCGCTTGCAACATGCACGCTCATTATGTGGGCGAAATGGATGAGGAAACTTTGGGGAGGGGGAACCGCGACTTCCCACGATCGCTCTGAGCAGTGGGTTGCTTCTCCTTTGCTCCAAAGGGAATGATGCATTCAGACAATGCAAACATCCTCTCTGCCAGGGCTGCAATGTGATAACAGCACTCTCCCCTTGCTGCCAGACCATAATTTCATTCCCTGTGGAGAATCACGGGTGGCGGTGCTGGGGAAGACGAGGAGATGTTAGAAGAGAAAATATATTTTTAACTCACCTTGAGGCTGTGTGTTGGGTTGACGACGCAGACAAGTTGCCCGGCAGCTGAGAAAACCCTCTTTGCCTTGTAGTGCTGAAACCGCAGGTGAATAAGATCTAACACAGCCCCAAAGCACTGGGTGAAGAAAAGCATCACAACTTTTGGTGTTGCTGCTGCTACTGCTGTTCCTGCTGCTGCTGCTGCTGCTGCTGCTGGCAGGGGAAGCAGCCGGGGAGCTCTGGAGTCCTTGAGCCGGGGCTGGGAGTGTAGTCGGTGAGAGCTGCTCTCCGGCACAGCTTAGCATGCCTTCATATTCATCATCAAAATAAGACGGGAAGAGGCTTGCAGCAGCGGGGCGGCCAATGGAAAGGACAGGAATGTTATCCTTGAGGTCCGGAGACAGCCAATAACAAATGCCTCCCCTCCAGAAACTCCCTGATGAATTGAGCCTGGTGGAGAATGTATTATTGAACATTACCATACATCAGCACATTGCATTTATCTTGTGATTACAGCCAGTCATATGTAAGGCTGTGGAGATATGCAGGCAAAATTGATTGCTTAACATCTCCATTTATTAATTGCCTTAATTTAACAAAGGAGTGCTCAGACAGCAAAGCTAAATGCAAGGCGCAGGGAAGAACCCCTCCAGTGAAACTGTTGGAAAGTAGCAAAAATAGGTTAAGCAGACTATGTTTTACTGAGGGAGAAAAATCAAATATGCAAAGAGAGTTACAGATCCTTGCAGGGGTTAAGCAGAAGTAGAGCTCGCTACATAAATAGATTCTCGTCTGTGCATTCACAGGCTTCAATTTGGATTTTCATTGCTCTGAAGTTTTCTAAATTTTATATGCTGCTACTTCACAAGAGTCCCAGCACACAAATAACATTTTCTCCATCATTGAAAATAGGAGAGGTCAGGTCTCAGGTCTGGTGTAACTTGGAATAACTCCATTTAGAGACAGCAATGTTTTCCTGATTTACACTTGCTGGTGGATCAGGTCTGTTGGACACAAAACATGGTAATTACTGGATGCTGGAACTATGGGAGCATAAAAAAGCACAGAGCATGCTTCTAAAAATAATGAAATACGTGATGCATGAGAGCACACACACACACAGAGAAACTTGCACTGAGGGAAAAGTGGCTTTTAAATCAACAGAATAATTAAACATGCAGAAGGCTTTTCCTTGTCATTCATCTGCATATCAGTGAGCAGGAAATTACAAATTAGCCATTAAATAGTCCTAGGCATTAAAAAGGAATTAGGGAAGTGCAACGAAAATAAACATGCTTTTAGGTATTATTACCAGTGCGTATCTCTGTTGGTGGGCAGGGATCCTTCTCGAGCCATTGAGTCTCATTAAACTTGAGTCCCTGTAACCAGTTTTTCTGGGAGGTGACTAAGCTGAAGCAGCTGAGGGAATCAGAAAGCACATTAATTTCATGGGACAATCCTGTGTGATATGTTGCTCTGCTTGTTAATAAATCAAAGAGAGTTAATTTAATTAGTTCTCTGCCAGAACTTCCTATCAGGGTACTATTTAGGCTTGCTAGCTAAGTACTCAGATGGCTTATTTAGCCTGGGTAATCCTTTTCCCCTTCAAAGCGGAACAGAGGGAAGTAGCTTTTATTTCATTCTTTTTTCTTCATTTTAAAAGTGAGCCCCATGCTGGGGGTGAAGCTGCTGCTGCGGACAGAGCAGCCCCCATACAGCACGGGAATTAGCCTGGGACTGTATTGTCACAACTGCCTCTTCCTAAATCAATACCACAATCCTGCCTCTGCCAGACTGCAGAGACGATGTGCATGAAAAAAAAAAAAATCTCAGTAGATAAATAAGTGAAAATAAGTGAAAATAATGGAACAGCTGATAACACAACCCCCAAAAAAATGTTAAGGATGGGAGGAATATGTATCCCTCAGTTCCTAACATTTGGTTGTAAATGAGAACAGGAGATAATTTTTGCAATGCTGAGTGACACTTTGAGAATATTTTCAGACAGACTTGAGGACAAGTGAGTGAATCGATTTGCTTAAATGTATTCTTTCTCTCCCTGTTCCCAAAGTAACTGTGAGCCTCCAGCAAGTTATTATTTGGTTTGGTTTTTTTTTTTCTTTCCTGGTTTGTAGTTAGTAGCTGCACAAATCTTGATACCAGGAAATTTCAGTTTGCAAGTTACCAGTGCAAGTATTCTGCCATGAAGGCCATAAATGATCTAAAGGTCCTTGCTATTTGCACTGGTTATTACCACCTGAATCCCTGGAGTTCATTTCTGTTTGACAATTGACTAAATGCCTAGACTTGGGAAGCACTACCATATCCATGGGCAGCAGAGATGGAAACCCCCCATCCCTGCAGTCCTGCTAACCTCAGGGCTCTGGCAATTCTGTGATCCTCTCCTCTTGAGACCCAGCTGCCTTCCAGGGTTGGCAGGAGAAGTATCCATGACCCCACAGGCACACAGGATCATCTTCAACCTGAAAATCTGTCAGTACCTCTAGGCTGGTGTACAAAAAGGATTGCTGTTCTCCAAAACAAAGACCACATTCAAGGATGGGTCAGGGACCTTTGCAGTGCTCAAATCCCTGTGTGCATCTGTGCCCATCATACTTGCTACATGTGACCTCCTGAGGAGCATCTGTCTGCCACCAATATTTGTGGAGAAGGATAAAAATGAGTATTCAGGGCATCTGAAGGTAACTCGTGCTCAGTGCATGGGCTCACATTCATGGTGGCACATCTGGAAAATATTTTACTGCTTGTATTTTGTCCAAAGACTCCCACACAGCACCTGCTTACTGCATTTCAACACAGGACTTTTAGTACCTGCTTGATGAGGGACCCTGCAGCCACCAAGACACAGCAGCTGACTGTGCAAGCAACTTCACTTGCAAAGGATCAGCAGCATCATCTGGCATACAGGTGTGGATCCAGTTCTTTCTTCTGCTTTCACATACAGAGGGTCTGGACCAGCATAACTCCATTAATTTGAGCTCATGGTGGTCTCACCCAGATTTGGATATCCAAGGTCAGCTGCCCCACCTAGCCTCACACCCTGGAGCGGGTTCTTAATGTCATTATTTAACTGTATGGAGGCAGCCAGAGAGAAGAGAAACGAGTTCACCTGCAAGGGGTGCTTGGTGAGCCCCATTTCACTGCTGGTTGCAAATTTCTGGTGACTGCAGCTGTTACTTCCAAGATGGTTTATTCCATAGCAGACAAGTGGGAAGTGGCAGAAGTCCATGAGCTGAACCCATTAAGATCCAGATTTTGCCAAATTAGCAGCTCAAGTGGCATCACTGTAACGTGCATGGGATTATAATGCTCTAACCGCTGAGCTGCTACTGCAGCTGTGTCAGGTTTACACGGTAACAGGATCAGCCAGACACAAAAATCAACCACAGCAGCAATAGCTGTCCAGTTTTTCAGTCTGAGCTGCCAAGGTGAAAGGAAAACGCTTGTGGGAAACCTCAGGTATCCAGGCACTGTGTGATTTGTCAGGATGATAGCCTGGGAGATGGGTTGCTCCATCCAAATCTAACATGAGATTTTGGGTTTCAACAGATTTGTTTGTTTTTCTGATGGGGCACTTTTGGGAGTCACCCTCCTACATGCTGCTTTCTCTCTTCAACAGCCGTAGGGGAAACCTAACCTGCCACGTTACCAACACTAGTCTTTATCCCAGGAACAGGAGAGCAGGTGCTGCTCAGGGTATCACGAGTGTCCATTCAGGCCTGCCCATGTTCCTGAGTGCTGGTAGGATTTCTGGCAACGCTGGCTGATGCAGGATGTCCTCTGGCTCCACTCTTTGTGTTTCCCTGAGAAAGGAACCAGGCCAATCTAACCTGCCACCTGGCTGGGATATCAGGCAGTTTTCTGCATCCTTTGGATCCAAACAATGTACAAAGCTTCATGTGCTCTCCTGGCTCTCACAGCAGGTTTTGAGGAGAGGTTTTTGCACTGTTATAATTTTCCCATGTTATCTTTTAGGCGAGAACATATGAAAAGTCTCACTAGCCCAGTGCAATGATCCCTCCAGCCCAGCACCCTGTCCTCTGCAGTGACTGCAGAAAATGGCATTTTGAGTTGACTTGTGGACAGGGATACCCACCGCTGTCCATTCTCCTGGCATTCCCTAAGCACTACAGCTGTCATCTTGGAACACTGGAGGGCACAACCATAGGGAATCAGAGCCTTTTAGAAGCAGCAACAACGTTTACAACTGGAAAAAGAGTTGTAGCCCTCCAGCCTGGCCCCTGTAAAGCATGTGTCACTTCACAGTGACCACTTTGTGCTTTGATTGGAACCCATTCTTTCCAAAAAGCCTGGCTTTGAAGATTCCTATGGAGACCAGTGACATCTCCTGCTAAGTTCTTCCAAGGATTATGTATCTTCACCACTAGGATTTTTTATCATATTTTCAGTCTGAATTATTTTCCTACATGAGCTTCTGACTTCAGAAAGTCATTTCGCTTTCCCTTACTGAGCTGGGGCAGTCTCTGCCATCACAGACTTTCTGCATGTGAAGACCCAGTTTTTTCCCAAAACCTCCTCCATCAAACTCAGTAAATAGGTAGTGTTTACTTTGCAAAACACCTTTCTTGCCCAAGGTCAGGTCACTCTTACAGCTTCTCTGTGCATTTTCTCTACCTCTTCCTCCTCCTCCTCCTCCTGTCTTCTTGAACCTGATCTGCTTCTCACCACTCCTTGGAGTTTCCATTCCACACCTCCACTTCTTTTGCAGGGCAGATTTAACTCCAGTGCAGCTACAAGGAAGCCAGAGCTGCCTGCAGGCATGGAGGAGAATCACAGATCTCCCAGAAAATGCAGGGAGGTGCTCCCTCCTCTCATCTTATTGGATGACTACAGTGAAAATATAAGCAGATTTCTTTCTCTTATTTAATAATCATCTGTCTTTTTTTCAAAAGTAAAGCATTGTCAGAAATTGTTTGCTTTACCAAAATTCTTTATCTGTGGTGGATTATTTTGCCAAATAGGTTTTCAGAAATCCATTTTCACTACATTCATCAATATAAGCAATTTTCCTACATGAGCACTGGATCTGTACACATGCTTTAAGCAGAATTTGATCCTACATGTGTCAACATTTTTTATTTTCTCTGAAGAACAGCTTTCATTGGGCAAGAACTATCAAAAGCAGCCTTTTAAGCAGTTGAATAACACGCCAGTTAAGACATCAGTGATAAATGCCACAGAAAATCTTACAAAACTTGGGAGAAAACAGAATTTGCTGAACTGTAACCAATTTTGCAATTTGATGTTCTTCCCAATATTTCCTGAGTGCTGCCCTTCTGCTCCCTCTGGGCAGCACCTTCAACCGTGCATGGTCATCGCCCTCAGAGCTGCTTTGCAACGCTGCAATCCAACACCATCATTGGAATAACTGGGGATGAATGCTGCCATTTTTTTACACACTTGAGCCATGTCTGCCCCATCTGTCACAGAGCAAAAGTAGTTTTTGTACCCCCTGGCCACCTGCAGAGCATCGTCACTGCACAGCTGCTGAGCTGGTCTCTTCCCTGTTAATCTTCCTTTCAGCAGAGACTTAAATTTCTCACTGGTATTGGAGGGCACTGATGTGTCAAGATGTGTTTTTCTTTTATTCCTTTCAAAGCCATCCTTCCTATATTAATATTAGCACTACATGAGTTTTCTAGTTCTTGGGTCAAGAGGGAAATTCTTCATTTCTCCTTAGGGTACATCTGCTGCC